GCTGAGGGGGGGGGGGGGGGGGGTTCAGGACCTGCTCTCAGCCGAGGCTCCCAGGTCCCAAAGGCCAGCAAAGGCAGAGCCAGGCAAACCAGAGGCCTGCCCCCCCCGCACCCCCAGGGGCACCTACCGAGCGCCACCATAGCCCCCACGGGGGCTGCGCCAGGCAAGCTGCCCGCCAGTGCCACAGGACAGAGGCTCGTTTCTGGTTGGGCAGGGATTTCAGCAAGAGGCCACTGCGGGAGGGGGGGTTGCTATTTGGACTCCCCCCCCCCGAGGACAGGGCAGGCCGGTGGGCGTTCCAGGGCCCTCTCTGGGGGGCCTCCTGCATGCCCGCCCGTCCAGGGGCTGGGTGGGGAGCCCCAGCAGCAGCCAGGGGGGGCAGGGGGGCTCTTTGGCTCCAGCCTCCTCCTCCTCCAGCAGCAGCCGGGGGTCCCCCCCTTTGGCCCCAGCCTCCTCCTCCTGCAGCCTGGGCCGCCGGGGCTCCTCCTCCTCCTCTGAAAGGGGTGGGGGCTGTGCGGGTGGCAGAGCAGGAGCCCAGAAGCCGGGAGAGAGAAGTGGGCACTGCTGCCGCCGCCGAGACTTGCCCTCACAAGGAGGCCTCCATCCCAGGCCGCTTCTCTCAGGCCCTGCTCCCACGGCAGGCCCCGGAAAACAGCCCTGCTCTGACGCCCCCCACTGAGCCAGCCCCAAGGCTTGGGTCTTGGCCCGGGTGGGAGCCTCAGGCCGCGGACAAAGCCGCCGTTGTCAGAGAAGGGAGCCCCCAACTTGGCCCTTCCGGCCCTGTTTCTCCCGAAGGAGAGGAAGCAAGAGGGAGAGGAGCCAACCGCGACAGTGCCAGCAGAACACGCCTCTGGTGTGTGCCCGGCCAAAGCGGTGGGTGGGGGCGAATGCCACGCAAGTAGCTTTCGGCACCTGGGCAACGGCTCAGCGGTGCCCCCACACGCTGACCACGGGGGCCTGCCAACAAGGGGCTGGCCGGAGCCTGAGCAGCCGCACCAATTCCAGCCTCCCAGCTGCAGAGGTCGGCCTGAAGACCCGCAAGCGGCGGCTTTATCAGCTCTCGGGGGAGAACATTTCCCGTGGCCAGCAAAGGGGTCCCTGGTAGCCCCCCCCACACACAGCACCGTGCCCCACTGCTGACAGTCCAGCGCCTGTCCCGAAGCCAGAGCCTGCCGCCAGTTCTTCCGAGCGAGCGGAGCGCAGAGTCTGCGTGCAGAGGGCCCCGCGATAAACGCCGGAAAGGGGGACACGGGCCACCCGTGCTGCTACTGCTGCTGCCGCACGGAGTCGTCCCTTTGAGCCCAGAACAGTGTCCCCAGGAAAGGGCCTGCGCTCGTCCCGGACGCATCCGCACAGTCGGAGGGAGCAGGCGGTGGGAGAACAGGACCTGGCCTGAGGCCCAGAAGGAAGGCGGCTTAGGAAGCCCCCACCAGGTGTTCCTGCCAGGTACGGGGAGCAGTTCTGATCCGGAGGGGGAAACGGGAAGCCCAGGAGGTCAGCCCCCTCCCCTCCCGAGGCCTTCTGAGAAGAGGCCAGGCAGCTCCCAGGCCGGCTGGAGAACCGCTCAGCTGCACGTGACCTCAGGGGCCTGGAGGCGACACAGAGTCTCTTGGGGGGGGCTTCATTTACAAAGAGGGAAAGGGCACCCAAAACGCAGCCCACACCCTCCTGCTCTCCCGGCCCCTCTCCAGAACATGCACGGTCTTGCTGGCAGCCCAAAGGGGACATCCGTTCTGGGCCTCTGGACCCGCTGGCGGGAGGACACGGCCTGCCCCCTCCCGCCTCCCCCAGGGCACCCTCAACCTCTCTGCTGGGACATTCGGGGATGTTGCCGCTTGCTCTCCTTCCGAAGCAACCTCTCGTGCCGGGTGAACCCTGTCAGACGAAAGGCCTTGGAGAAGTAGGAGCACGGTTACGGCCTCTGCTGCGGAAACGGGAAATGATCCGTTGCCGCCTTGAGACCAACAGGCAAACTGAGGACACGTGAGAGGACTGGGGCCCCCCTCCAAACCAAGCATCAGCCATCGAGTCTCAGAAACCCAGACCCTGAGAAGAGCTGGAGAAAAGCCATTCGGGGGGCTGCGGGGCCCATAGAATGCTGGGGAAACACCACCACCCCTGGCTACAATGGGGTGGGCGCCTTCCACTCAGCAAACAATCCAGAGCCTGCAGTTCAGGGCCCAAAAGGGATCTCCTCCAGTCCACATGGGTGCTTGGGCCGGCCGGGGGAGCTGACTTCTGTCGGAGGAGGTGACGGTGGCAGACGGATGGGGGAGGGGGACTGCCTGGCGTGGGAAGGGGAGGGCACAACCCCCGTAGCCTTCTCCTGCCGGTGCCAGGCCAGCCAGCCTTCCTTGCAAGCGTGGGGGCCTGAAGGCTGCCCCCCTCCCTTTCAGCCTGGTGCCGTCCCAAAACCTCCCTCCAAGGTAGGAGGAGGGGTAAGGCGTGGGGCCCCAGATGTCCTCGTCTGGACTGCCGGGTCCAGCTGCCATCAACACATCCAGCCTCCCAGGCCCAAGAAGGGAACTGGGTCCCAGGCCCGGTTCTCAGGGCCTGCTTCTACCTTTGCTGCAGCACATGGGCAGTGGCCCCTGCCGCCCTGGGGTCGCTGGTCCCAGCCAGCCTGCGGTCCTGCCTAACTTCCTCCTGCCTCCTGCCCACCGGCCTGCACCCGGCGGCCCAGGGCGACCGCTGACACCCGGCACGGGACTGGTTTCAAGCTGGCGGCAGAGGCCAGAGCGGCGGCGGCGGCGGCACCTGCTTCCAGGAGGAGACAGACAGGGACCCGAAGGGCACCGGCCCCTCCCGGGGGCAGATTCCTTAGGCCCGGCTCCGTCCAAGAGACCCTTCCCCTTCCGATGGGCCGGTCAA